GATGAAGTCCCCATGGAGAACACCCAAGAGAAAAAGAAAGAAATTCTTAAAAACATAAATCCAACACCTGGATGCAGCCTTGCCTGAGGTCAGACCACTCTTCCTCGGACTTTTCACATACAGGAACTAAAACATGCCTTTTTAAGTTTAAGTTAGGATGGCAGAGCCTGTTTGTTGCCTGCCCAACTTCCATATTCCCCGTCTTCCTTCGTACCATAGCCCCAGTGTTATCACAGGAAGCAATCAATGTACACAATTAAAAGCCAGTATTTAACAAACTTCCTTGCACTTAGGGGTGACCCATAACCTGTAAGTAAAAACTGTGACAATCCAGAGAAAGAACCTCAAGAGGAGGGTGAACAGTTGGCATGTGTCCATTTTGCCCTTCCCCTCCTTTCTCCTCCTGATTTCTGCCTAGATGACAGCCTAAATGGCAAGTGCTCCAGCAGCCATTTTGGACCACGAGGCAACCCAGGGGCTGGAGGCCACACGCTAAGAATGGAGGAGAGTTAAAAAAAAACGAAGAAAGGAGCTTGTATTCATGAAAACACCACAGCAGCCCTGGCCCGCCAACCTTTTATATGAGAACAGAAATAAAAAAAAATAAACCTCTATCTTGTTTAGACCACTGTTCACTCCGCTCTCTCTTCTTAGCAGCCAATCTCTCTATTCCAGGGACATCACCATTTTGAGTAGGACTTTTTGTCACTTGCAGCCAAGATGCCTGACTTGGTCTCAAAGGCCCCGGGTCTGGTACCAGGACCTCAGCATTGCTATCACCAAACGGGCTGTCTTGAGAGCAGGGGGACTGCAGGGAACACCCCTTCTGAGCATCAGCCCTCGAAGACCTTAGGGACTCTCCAGTATGACTGCCGGTCAACCGACTCCCAGAACCCAGGGCCTGGCATGCACGCAGGGTGGGTTTGAGGAATCCGCTTAAGGAAGGGGACACTGCCCAGCCCCTTCCCCCACCAAGGGACAACTTCACCACAAAGACTTAGATTCCTGTCTCAGAAAGCATCTCCAAGGGACCGTGGTAGGAAGATTGGAGATAGCACTCATAGCAAGAGTAACTGAGTGCCTGGCCCACAATAAGTGCCCATAAATGGGCACTTCCGTGACGATGTCAGACAAGTGGCTAATCTGATGCCCACAAGTAAAGAGAACACAGCAGTGAAGTGCACAGGCTTCAAATCATCCAGACCTGGGCTTGGATCTGAGCCCCATCACGTCCTGGCTGTGTGACCTTGGGCAAATGACTTAACCTCTCTGAACTTCAGTTTCCCCATCAGAATGCTTCTGCAGGTTACATGAAATGATGTAACACAGCAGGCGTTCACTGGTACGGGGTCCCGCGAGGCAACGACACTGGCCACGCACAGCGCCCGAGCCAACGAGCTCTCACAAGGAAACAGAATTCACCCTGCACCGCACTCTAATCTGTGCGTGCTCTTAACAACAGAACAAAACCCAAGCGACCGACCAACTGCCCATCTGAATGACAGGCACACAGAGAATGCTGGAACAAAGAACAAAATGCCTGGGTGGGTGCGGAGAGCCCTAAGTGTGACTTTTAGTACTGATGTGAGCCAATAGGAGACCTGCAATCGATCCCCAGCTCTACACCATTTCCTGTGCCATCCGGAGCAGGTCGCCTCCCTTCTCTGAACCTGTCCAGTGAAAGGACCAACGAAGGCATTCTCAAGTCCCTGCCAGCCCTGACAGTCAGTGAACCTACAATTCTTTCCCCCAGGAACACTCCTTCCAAGTTGCACCAGAGATGGAGAAGACAAACCCGCTTTATCTGGCAGTTTTTCTAAGTCAGGTGAAATCAGCTGGTCTCAGATCATCCCTCCAGGGTCCCCCAACCCAGAGCAGCGGCCCGGTCTGGGTAGTGTGCGGAGAGCTGTGGCGGGGAGTCAGGAACCTCACCTGGAAGAAGGGGTGGTTCCTGACTTCCTGCGCCCCCTGGGGCCCCGCGCCCAGCCGCTTCTTGGGGTCCTTGCAAAGCAGCCGCCGCAGCAGGTCCTGTGCCACAGGCCCGATCCGGGGGGGGAAGGGAGGGGAGCACTTCAGGATCCGTCTGGGAGGATTGGGGGGGCGTCAGGGGCAGCGAGCCCCCTCCCCAACCCTGCCCAGGCCCCTCCCTGCCCCCCCTTCTTGTCCAGCCCCGCTCACCGGGACACCTCTGCCTGCGTGTTCCTCTCGCCCTCCAGTGTGAAGGGCGAGGCCCCAGTCAGCAGTTCGAAGAGCAGGATGCCCAGGCTCCACCAGTCCACCGCCTGCCGGGGCAGAGCCAGGGTGAGGGCCTGTGGCCACCCCTACCTCACCCCACCGCCACTCCCCACCCACTCCCCGGCGAACCCACCTTGCCATGCCCCGACTTGCTGCGGATAATTTCGGGGGCCATGTACTCGATAGTGCCACAGAAGGAGAAGGTTCGTTCTTTCTGGGAGGGCAAGAGGACCCATTTGCACACCCAGCAGTCCCCAAGGCTCAGAGTAGGACTCGCTGGACTTGTGAGGGTTGGAACAGGGGGGCAGCGCCTCCTGAAGGCAGGGCCTGGACCTGTTTACCTCTGCGCGGCCAAAACACAGAGCCAGGCACGGAGCAGGAGACAGGAAGGCGGAGGCTTGCATGGGGGTGCAGGAGGCAGGGAGAGTGCCCCTCGCTCACCTCCTCCGTCAGGAACTCCTTGCTAAGCCCGAAGTCTGTGAGGACGATGTGGCCCTCGGAGTCAAGCAGCACATTCTCCAGCTTCAGATCTCGGTAGATGATACCCAGCTGGTGGGAGCGAGAGCAGTGCTGAGCCTTCCTCCCCGACATCCCCACCTCCTACGGCTGGTGCCCAGGCACCAAGACCCAGCTCGAGATAAGGGGAGCCCCCTAGAGAAGGGGTCTCCGGTGCAGCAGTGGGCCCAGGCACCGGGCCATCAGATGGCAAAAGCCATTTCCGATGTAAAAGCAAGGAAGGAGGACACCATGGGAACAGGCCCCAAGGCCCCAGAGGGAAGGAGAGCCTGTGTGAAGAGTCCCATTGCAAGAAGGCCTTGGGAGCCAAGGCATGAGGTCTCCATTTGAGGAAGTTCTGCGAGCGTGGCCCCGGGAGGCAGTCCCGAGTTCCCTGTCGGAGGAAAGCCCCTCTGAGGGGGTGCCACAGGGGGGCTGGGGGGGGGAGACCCCTCCCCAGGCAGCGCTAAGGCCTTCCTTCCAGATGCATCCAGGCCCAGCCCCCACCAAGACCACCCAAGAGAGAGCGCTTCGAGGCTGCCATGTCTGGAGGCCCCTCAGTGCCTGTGGCAAGAGCCCGGAGGCCGGGTCCTCACCCACCTTGTGCAGGTGCTCCAGGGCCAGCACGATCTCGCCCCCATACACGCGCACCTCGGCCTCTTTGAAGTGCTGGCGCTGGTAGAGGTGGGTGAACATCTCGCCTCCACTCACATAGTCTGGGGGGTGGAATGGGGGTTGGGACGCAACGCCGACCGAGCGGCCCCACCTGCCTCCGTGGCCCCCAAGGTCGGTGGGTGCCCGCCCTTACCCAGGATGAGGTGCAGCTTGGCGTCCGTCTGGAAGGCGTAGTGCAGCGTAACCAGGAAGGGTGCCTGGCGCACCAGCTCCAGCACGGAGCGCTCGGTGCGTGTGTGTTCCTGCGTCTTGGCGCGCTGCACCAGGGCTGCCTTACGCAGCACCTTCATAGCATACAGCTTCCCTGCATCGTGCCCGACTGCTTTCCGCACCAGGAACACCTTCCCGTAGGCTGTGGGAGCAGTGGGCGAGCGGAGGGGTAGACCGTGAGCGGAAGGGTGGTGCGGACTGGTGGGGGCGGGGGCGGGGGCGATGCCAACCCAGAGGGCGTGCACACTGGGGGAAGGAGCTGGAGTGAGAGGCAAGGGTGCAAAAGGCTGACACAGCCCCGGAGGGCCCACAAAAGCGGGGAGGAGATGTGCAAACCAGGCTGGAAGACGTGCAACTCCTGGAGGCTTGCCATGCAGGGTGGGGGCAGAACATGGGCAGAGCTGGGGCAGATCAGACAGATGCAGGGGGATGCAAAGTGGACGGGGGAGGGATGTGCAAACCCAGGCCGGGGGAACTTGCAAAGCTGGGAGTGAGCAAAGCAGGAGACCAGGCTCGCATATGGAGGTGTGCAAAGCCCTCGGGAGGGCTGCAAGCCCTGGAGGGTGTTGGCAAATCCCGGAGGACCTTGCAGGGAGGAGCAACAGAATGTGGAGCGGTGCTAGGAGTAGGCATGTCCCTGGGAGTGGGCATGCAAACCCTGGCAGGGCAGGGCGGGGCAGGCAAGGCGGGCCGTGCTGGGAAAGGGTGGGGGGCATCGCCGGAGGCCTGGCCCAGGCCCAGGAGGGTGCGCCGCCGAGAGGCCCAGCACACCAGGCTCGGGACACCTGCCCCGGGGGTGGGGGTCCTCACCTCCCGTGCCCAGCACCTTGAGCAGCTCGAAGTTCTCGACGCTCACCTTCTCCTCGTGCCCGGTCAGGTTGGCTGTGGGCACAGGAGGCGAATGAGCCCGGCCGGTGCATGCCCCCCTCCCGGCCCAGCCCCGGCGGCCCTCACGCGGCCCCGCGCCCCCTGGCCGCCCCCCGCCCCACCTTCGGTGATCCGCAGCTCCACGGCGCAGCCCTCGTCCTCGTCCTCGTCCCCCATGGCGTGCGGGTCGCCGGGGGCCCGCGCGGCTCTGCTCCGGGCGGCGCCGGTTACATGGCGGCTCCGGCCGGGGCGGGCGCTTCCTGGTGCCGCCTCCGGGGGCCGAGGCGGGCGCCGGCGCCGCCTCCCGCTCCCCGCCCCGCGCGGCCTGAGTCAGGCGGCTGGAACGTGACAGCGCCGGGCGGCGGGTGGGCGCGTGGGCGCGTGGGGGCGGCCCGGCTCCCTCCGGCGCGCGGGGCCGGCGGCGGGGCTGTGCGCTCCGGGACCCGTGCGACCCTCCTGGAGACCTGGGAACACCCTTTGGGAGCCGCATCTGGGGTCCAGGGAGAACCTGGAGCTTCTACTGGGTGGCCACTCCCGAGCCAGGTGTCTGCCCGGGGGCCCGCTGAAGCCAGCGGGGATGAGACACGGGAGCCCGCGCCCCAAGGGGGCTGGGGGGGGGGGGCACCGAGGCGCTTTGGAACCGCCCCCTCCGGGGTGCCAGGCCGAAGGGCAGCCATGCATCTCTGTCCAGTTCTTAGCCGCCAGCCAAAGTGAGGCATTTCAGAGAGATCTCAATTCACTCACTCAGTTTTGATCACCCCTTGACCAGGACAAAGGGGGGGAGGGGATGTGCAGGTTTCCTTGACAGCCTGAAGCCTCAGGGCTACCCTTTTCCAGGTGCTGCCCTGGAGGCCTCTGCCCAGCACCTCTCACTCAAGTGTGGACTTGCCTGTGCAGGGGAGGGCCTGGGGGCTCAGGGGCCCTGACCACCCTGTCTCTGGGCAGCGCCTGCCCAGGGAGCACCTGCAGGGGGCGCTGAGAGGGTACTGGAGCCAAGCCCAACTCTGTGACAGGAGGGGTGGCTGATTTCCTGACCAATCTCTTCAGAGTGGGCCTGTGGAAGCACGGCAGCCCCCAGCCACCCTTCGCAGCCCAACCAGTGCCACGCACCTCTCACGTGCTTCTGTCCCGACGTCCCCAAGCCCAGCACAGAGCCCAAAGTAACCTCACAGGGGGCCTCCTCTCACGGTCCGGCCCAGGGCCCCTGGCTGGCCTGTCCTCCAGAGCCTCCCTGACGACTGACAGGAGCCACCAACAGAGCAGGGTGGTCATCAGAGCCCCCAGGCTGAGGCCTATGGGGAGGGGCTTTCAGCTCCTCAGCCCTGCTGGAGGCCGGGGGTCGGCTCCCACCTCACCACACTCTGAAGCTTGGGCTGAGAGGAGAGCAGAGCCGTCAGTTATCCCCAAGGGGAGCTGTGGAAACCCCATGAGTCAGGCTGCTGCCGGTCACCCTGGGGAGGCTGGCCTGGCCACCCCCAGATTCAGGCTGCCTCACCTCAGCCCTGGCAGCCCCACCCTACCCTGGGCGGCCCTGGGTGCCTTGACTCACGTCCTGCCACCTAGCCTAATTGCCTCTTTCCTGGGCGTCGTTCTGGAAGCGCTGGTCAGAGACCAGTGTCCTTCCCACCTCTTTATCCCTCCATGAAAGCCCGTGACACTAGGTGACATCCCACTGGGCTGAGAACCCACTGGGGAGGAGCTCAACCCTAGAGGGGTGGAGAAAGAGGATGAGGAGGCAAGAAGAAGTAAAAGGGGGCGCCTGGGTGGCTCAGTTGGTTGGGTGACTGCCTTCGGCTCAGGTCATGATCCTGGAGTCCCGGGATCGAGTCCCGCATCGGGCTCCCTGCTCGGCAGGGAGTCTGCTTCTCCCTCTGACCCTCCCCCCCTCATGTGTTCTCTCTCATTCTCTCTCTCTCAAATAAATAAATAAAATCTTTAAAAAAAAAAAAGAAGAAGAAGTAAAAGGAGGGAAGAGGGAGGGGGCGGAGCATCTGGGGCTCCACTGGAGCCCAGACCCCACCTTCTAAGCAAAGGCGGAGCCCAGACTTGGGCTACCCAGAACCCCACCTGCCCACCCCACTGGGACATCCAAGTGAGCCCGACTAGCCCGTCCCTCGAAGAAAGCCCTTTGCCGCCCTGGGCAGGGTGAGGAAGCCAATGGGCACGGACCCCAGCCCACACAGACTTTGGTTGTGTACATGGTGGGTGCCTTGGGACTCCTGGACACCACCACTAGGCACAGAGCACAAATTCAGGTGGTCGTACCTCAGCTTTATTCTCAGGTCCCTCACAAACCAGATACAGCTCAGAGATGGGCCCAGGTCACCCTCCCCAATGAATGGTCCTTGGCTCCCCGCCCAGACCAGGCAGCGAGCTCTCTTGCCCACTTCTGCCCGTCTCCTTCAGCTGGGGGGTCACCCGGAGCCGGCCTCCGTAGCGAGGGCCGCAAGGCAGAGCTGGTGCCCTGGCGAGGAGCTGCTCCTGGGGACCAGCTGTCCCCTCTGTCCACAGGCTTATCCCAGCTCCATCTCAGGGCCCCAGGGTAGGCCTTGGAGGAACTGGGGGCCCAGGCCTCCTTGTCCAAGGACTGGCTCCAGGCGGCCTGGATCCCCGAATTCTTGGGCTGTCGGAGACCCCCACCGGGACTCTGGTGCTGAAAGGACTGCACTCCCAAGCCCCCCGTCCACATGGTGTCACTGGCTGAGGGAAGGGGCAAGAGGGCGTTTCTCCGGCTCCTGCACCTCGAGGCCTGAGGAGGAAGGCTCAGCTCAGGCCACTCCCTCAGGAGCTCCCAGCATTCGAGGAGACCCCCAGGGCCCCCCACCTTCTGCCCCCCCCCCACTGTCCCTTGCAGCTCCCCTCAGCTCCCCCCTCCTCACTCAAGCTGCACTGGCCACCTTGCCCGTCCTTGAACTTGCCAGGCCTTTGCTTCGGCTGTTCCCTCTGCCTGGAATGCTTGTCCCCAGGGATGTTGACAGGAAACTCTCACCTCCAAGTCTTTGCTCCCACTTCACCTCCTCTCTGAGGACTACCCTGAGCACTGTAGTCAAACTCACAACCTGTCCCACCCAGCGCTCCTGATCTCCCCCCTGTGCTCTCTCTTTTCAGAGCGTCGCCACCTCCTAACATTCTGGGGCTGAGCCGCCCAGTGCAGAACCGAGCACCTGAGAAGCGGCCCATCTGAACTTCCATGTGCTGGAGTGTAAAACAGCCGCTGGACTCAAGGACGTAGCAGGAAAAAATAATATAAACTATCTCATTAATAAAAATTAATTAATTAGCTAAATAAATAAATATCTCATTAATGATTTTCCACACTGACTACAGGTTGAAATGGTAACAGTTCTGGTATAATGGGATAAATAAAATGTTATTAAAACTAATTTTACCTGATAAATAAGACCTTAAAAAATAAAGGGGGGAGGGGCACCTGGGTGGCTCAGTCAGTAAAGCGTCTGCCTTTGGCTCAGGTCATGATCCCTGGGGTCCTGGGATCGAGTCCCGCATCGGACTCCCTGCTTAGTGGGGAGCCTGCTTCTCCCTCTCCCCCTGCTCCTGCTCTCTCTTGCTATCTCTGTCTTTCTCTCTCTCCAATAAATAAATAAAATATTTTTTAAAAAATTAAATTAATGGGGCATCTGGGTGGCTCAGTCGTTAAGCATCTGCCTTCAGCTCAGGTCGTGATCCCAGGGTCCTGGGATCGAGCCCCGCATTGGGCTCCCTGCTCTGCGGGAAGCCTGCTTCTCCCTCTCCCACTCCCCCTGCTTGTGTTCCCTCTCTTGCTGTGTCTCTCTCGGTCAAATAAATAAATAAAATCTTTAATAAATAAATAAATAAATAAATAAATAAATATAAAAGATTAAATTAATTTTACCGGTCTCTCTACTTTTCTGATGAGGCTACTGGAAAATTTTAAATTACACATGTAGCTCACATCATATTTCTACTGGACAGGGCCGTTGTAGATAATTATTATTTTTATGCACGTTGTTTACTATCTCCCTCCTGTACCAGAATGTCCCCTGCTGTATCCCCTGCTGTATCCCTAGCACATCCCCTGGCACTCAGTAAAGGCTCATTGTCAAGTAGATGAATGGATGAACCAGGGGCCCCAGGCAGGCCAAATACCCCCACTCACCCTCTCCGTTAGCATCTGCTTTGTGTTCGGACAGGGTCTCGATGGAGCCATGCCATCCCACGCCAGGTCCTGGGGGTGCACAAGGCAGCCAATGGGCCATGGGGACCACAGCAGAGGCAGGCAGGGCTTGCGGGGAGACCCAAGGGACAGGAGAAAGCCAAGGGGTTAGTGGGTCCAAGGGAGCTGGGGAGCAAATGGGAGCAGAGACCCTCATCTCTCACCTTTGCCATGGGAGGTGGGCGCGCCCAGGGGGCCCGGCCTGCGCTGTCGGAATCGCTGCCTGGGGGTGTCCCCAGGGCTGAATGACTCAGAGCTTCGCCCCACAGGGAATCGTGAGCTGAGTTTCCGCCGCTGCCCCCCTGCCAGGGTCTCATCCCGCAGGCAGAGGGAGCTCTGGGCCCGGCGCATGGGTGCCGGGGCAGGGGACCCTGCAAGAGGCATAGGCAGGGAGGGTGTGGAGCAATGCAGGAAAGGGCTGGGCAGAGTGGAGGGGCCGGTGGGGTGACGCTGCAAAGGAGCAAGGAGAGGAGGCTGCAGAGGCAGGGGTAAGGTCTGGGTGAAGGAGGGTGGTGACAGGAGGCTGGCCTGGGCCGGCTCTGACACTAGCTGACTGTGTGACCTGGGGCAAGGCACGTCCCCTCCCTGGGCCTCGGCTTCCTCATCTGTCCCCCACACCCAGCAGCAGCACCTGCGCCTCCTACAGGCTCACTGCAGTTCTCTCTCCTCCTCCAGGAAGCCTTCCCTGACATGACCCAGCCTGAGTCCACTGTGCTTCCTGGACTCCCACAGCTCCCTGCACAGTCCTGACCTTCACTAAAGTCCCCTGCCGCTCTGAGGTCCTAGACACTGCTGTGGATGGGTAGGACGGGGTGCCGGCTGAAGGGATTGTGGCAGGGACGCAGGGTGGGGTTGCGGCAGGGAAGGCCGGGGGGCGGGGGGTACACATGCAAGCCACACCAGATGAAGGGAGAGACGAGAGGCGCTGGCAAGCACCAGGGTGGGGGTAGGAGACATGGGGTAGAGACCATCCTGGTCACCCGGCCCCCAGACCCACCTGTCCCATCTGCCTCCCTGCCCTCGGAGAGCTCCGTCTCTGGGGGGCCCCCCAGGCTCTCGGTGCTGCCAGCCCCATCGGCCCCCAGGCGTGGCCCCCCATGGAGGCCCCCCTCCCGCCGGGGCCGCATCAGCCTCTTCACCTTGTCTGCCAACCAGCTGCCCTTCCTGGGGGCAAGAGGGCACAAGAGGGGGTAAGGCCAGGGAGGAAGGAGGGACAAGAGGGCCACGCTGGGGATGGCAAAGGCCAGGCAAACCCTCATCGGGGCCTGGAGAGGGCAGGGCAGGGGCAGAGGGTGGGAGGATCCCCGGCTCCAGGGGGTGGAGGGGCCCCTCACTTGGTCCGGGGCAGGGGTCCAGGCTCCAGCACTCGGTACTGGTCCATGATCTTCTCCACCAGCTTCTGCTTCTCACGGCGCAACGCATTGAGCTGGTCCCTGCGAGCATGAGGGCGGAGGCGGGTGTGAGGCCGGGCAGGAATGCAGCTCAGGACCCACCGCCACGAGCCTGCCTGCTGTTCGCACACCGCGCTCCGGTGCTGGCAAACTACTACTGTCCTGAGCCCCGGGCGGTCAGCCCCGGCCCTTTCCCGAGGACCCCCGGGGCATCTGCCCATGAGCAGCCAAAGGGGTCTCCGGGACCCGCTCCCCCTCCAGCTTCCAGCAGCCGAGCTGGGCCCACCCACGGCCTGCTCACAGGTACTCGCGCTGCTCGCGGTGCAGGTGGTCCCTGCTCTCCAGGCTGCGCTCCAGGAGGTCCCGGTTCTCCCGGCTCAGCGCCTGCACCTCAGCCAGCAGCTGCCGGTTCTCCTCTTCCTGGGCGCTCCGAAGCTCTGTCAACAGCTGGGGGGGGTGGGGGGCGGCAAGCAGGCGGTAGGGCAGGTGGGGGATTTAATGGGGCTCAGGGTGGCTACCTTCCACCCCCCCAACTCTCCAGCCCCCAGCCGGCCACCACCCATCCCTCACCACACCTCGCACTGCGTGGTCAGCCGACAGGCACTCAGGTCCAGCTGCTGGTTGGACTCACGCAGTCGCTGGCTCTGCACCTCCAGCTGGGCCCGCTCCAGCTCCAGCCGTGCCAGCCGGCCCCGCAGCTCCCCACGTTCACCCTGCAGCTCACCGCGCTCCCGAGACACCTCTGCCAACAGCTTCTGAGCCCTGCAGAGTCCAGAAGAGACGCTCTTCAAGGGCACTCAACCCCCTCCCAGGCCCTCCCACAGGGGCCAGAAGGCCACGCTGAGCAAGAGGCAAAGCGGGACCCCACAGGGACGGTGACTAACTCACCACCAACCCACTTCGCAGACGGGAACACTGAGACCTGGTCCGAGAGGGGCGGGGCTGTGCCAGGGCTGGTACCTGTCATGCTCACTCTGCAGCCTCCGCAGCTCCTCCTCCAGGCCGCGCTGCCGATGCCCGTCCTGCATCAGGCGTTCTCGCTCCGCCAGCAAGGCCATCTCCTGCGCCTCCACGCTGGCCCTCTGGGCCTGCAGCTGCTCGTGCCTGGGATGCACAGGGACTGAGAAGGCTGCAGAGACCTGGGGCCGGGGCAAGTGTGCGGCTGGACTATCGGGACCTAGGGGTCTGCCCTCTCCTAAGCACCGGCCCCCAAACAAAGCGAGGGGGCAGAATGCCCGGCGAGGTGCCCACCACTCCCCATGATGAACGAGCCTCAGGGTGAGCTCACCCCGGGGCCCAGCCACACATGAGACCACGGCAGCAGAGGTGGCTGAGTTGAGTGGTGGTCCTTGGGGAGGGGGCCGGGGGCGGTCAGAGCCACGCAGGCCAGGGGTGCTGGGCAGAGAAGCCGGGAGTCTGGGGGAGGCTCACCGGCCCTGCAGCTCCCGGTGGGCCAGCTCCAGCGCCCGCATGTTAGCCTTGAGGTCACGGTGCCGGACCAGCAGTCCCTCTAGCTCAGCCTCCTGCCGCCGCTGCAGCTGGGCCAGGGCCTCGTGATCCCGCAGCAGAGCCTGCTGCTGCCCCCGGGTCTCCTCCTGGGACTGCCGGGCCACCCGCACCTCCTCCTCCAGCACCCCCAGCTTCTTATGCAGCTCCTGGCCCTGCATCTCCAGGACAGACTTCTCAGCCTAGACAGAAGAGGGGGTGCAATCCCAGTTCCGAAAGCGGGTAAGGGACAGGGGGCAAAAGGCAAGGGGCAGGGCAGAGAATACAGAGAGAACTAGGGAGGAGGCCGAGTGCTAGAGAGGAGGTGACAGGGAGCAGAAAGCAGAGGCGGGGGTGAGTGGGCAAGGAGAGGGGAGTGGTATCATGGAGATGGGCGCTGGTGCCAGGCTGTGGAGGGGAGGGCAAGAGGCACAAGGCAGGGGTGGGACAGATGAGGCTGGGGTGGGAGCAGGGAAAGAGGAAGGGACTAAGGGCTGGCTGCTGAGAGGGATGGAGCTGAGCCAGAAAACAGCACAGAGGTGAGGCGGAAGGGGGAAGGCTCAAGGGGAAGGAGCAAGTAGAAGTGAGCAGGAGCGGGGTTAGAGGGGTGCAGAATGGGGTGGTTAGGAGGTCAGGGACTAGGGAACAGGGAGGGCAGCCAGCTGGGAGCTAGGGCAGAGAAAAGGGCAGACAGCAGTGGAAAGGGGGCCTGAGATTGGGCAGGGGGTGGGGCACCCAGGCCACACCCACCTGCAGGCGGCTGCTGTACTCCTGGGCTCGCTGACTCTGCAGCAGGAGCTCCTGGGCTCGCCCCTGCAGGCTCCCCAGCTGCCCCTCCAGGTGCTGCAGCTGTCCCTGCAGAGCCACCTTCTCGGCCACCAGTGTTGCATTCTGCGCGTTGCATTTGGAAGGGAGGGGGGTTAGCAGGGGCCGGGTCACTGGGGCAACCCCCTCCCTGTGCCTGCCACGGTCACACTCACACTGCGCTCCACCTCGATGAGCCGCCCACTCTGGGCCCCCGGGGTCTTCAGCTCAGCGTGCCCCTCGGAACCCAGCCCCTCGGGGCCCTGGCGCAGCTGCAAGGAGAGGCCCCGGGAGGTCACTTGGGGGCGTGGAGGAGGCCGGAGGATAGTGCAGGGACCTAACCCAGGGGACTCTCACCCCTTGGGCAGCACCGCTGCCCCATCCCTCCATCACAGGGGTCCCCCACCCCCCCGTGCTCCTGGCTCCCACAGGTCCATCTGTCACTCTCTGTCTGCCCTGCTCCACGTCGCTCAGTTCTACAGCAGGGCCTGGCCTCTGCCTGGGCCACTTCTCTCTTCACCCTGCTCTTCCTCCCGGCCCCAGTTTCAACACCACTTTCCCCCGACCAAGCCTACGTGTACGTGTTAGGGGCTCTGCTGGGTGCCCGCTGTCCCCTGACACCCCGTGTTATGGCGGCCTGTGTCCTTGCCTGGTCTTGGGCCCCACCACAACCTGGAGCTGAGCCCTGAGCTGGGAGCCTCAGAAACAATGGCCAGCCAAGAACAAGGGCAGTAACTGAGCTCACTCGGGAGTGGTGAGGCCCCAGAGACAGCTGGCACCTCAGAGCAGAGCCGCTGGGGTCTGTCCATTGGAGGAATGAGGGCAACAAGGCCCCCCAGAAGACTACAAGGCCTGGGCAGAGTCCGCCTGACCCCCAGCACGGGGCGATCTCCAATAGGCCCCCAGATGGGGCACAAGGCAAGCAAGTGGCCCAAAATCAAGGGGCAAGACCAGCGCGGGGCTGGAGGGACTGAGCACACGCAGCCCCGGCTGTCCACAGGCAGGATGGAGGGCGGGGTGGGACGAGGCTCCCAGCACCCAGGGCCGCAGGCCTCACCTGGACCAGCTCCTCTTCCAGCTGCAGAGCCCTGGTCTTGAGCTCCCTCAGGGCCTCCTCCTTGCTGGTGGCCGCCGCCTGAAGCTCTGCTTCCAGCCGCTGCTCTAGGCCCTGGTACCTGCCAGGAGAAGCCGTGGCACCAACCCCTCCCCAAGCCCTAGCTGCCCCCTCTCTGCCCCTGGGGCGACACCCTCACCTCTGGTGCTGAAACTCTTGTTCTCGCAGAAATTCCTGGCGCTCCAGAGCCGCCTGTTCCAGCTCACTCTGCAGGTGCTCCAGCCGCGCCCCCAGCTCCCGGCCCCGCACCACGGCCTTCTCTAGCTCCTGAGGGCAGGCACAGCGGGCTCAGGGCCCGGAGGGAAGACCACCAGACTCACCCGGGGAGGGGGGGGCGGGGGGGCCACATTCCAAGGCCTGAGCGTCTGGAGGCCTAGCTTTCTGTCCTTCCTCTGTCACCCTGGGCAAATATCTTTTTTGTTTTGTTTTGTTTTTGTTTTTAAGTGGGCTCTCACGACCCTGAGATCAAGAGTCACGTGCTCTACTGATGGAGTGAGCCAGGTGCCCCACCCTGGGCCAAGATCTTTACCCCTTTGGGCTTCCACTCCCCGACAGGGAGCAAAGCCTGGCCACCTTGTGGAGTGACTACGGAAGACTGGGATCGTAAGCCTGGCAGCGGGTGAGGGAGGCCCCTGGTCCAGGACTCAGAGACACTCGCCGGGCAAGTGTCTTTACCTCTCTGAGCCCACGGTTCCTCGTGCGCCCAGTGGCAGTTAGACGTGTCCTACGTGCTGAGGCCATGCGGGCCACGTGAGGGAAAGAGGGGCTTGGAGGAGGCAGATCTCAAGAGTGCTCTGGGCCACAGGGGGAGGGCGACAGAGGACAGGAACTTGGTGAGTGTCGGGCCCAACCACAGTGGGGGCTGGCGGGTGGGGAGAGACGCTGCGGGCCAGGCCGGGCCAGGCATCCTGTGGCGGTTGGGCCACACCATTGCGGAAGGGGGCAGAGTGGGCCGCAGAGGGAGATAGGCCAAACCATTCTGAGGTGCGGGGGCCCTGGCAGGATGAAACCACAAGGAAGGGCCGACTGGGACCAGCTGCCTACCAAAGCCTTACTCTGGACACTGAGTCTACAGCCTCTGCTTTGATCTTCCCGGTTTTGCAATCCCACTGAGCCTCCCCTGGGGCCACTGCCTCTCACTGAAAAACTACAAGTCCCCCTGCTCCCTGCTGGCCCACCTCCACGAGAGCCCAAGGGCTAAGGGGTAGAAAGAACAGTGGAACCGATGAAGAGACTTGAACCTCAGGCCAGACCGCGGAACTGGCCCCCTCCAGGCCCTGGCCACGGCCCTCAGCGCCGCGCCCCCTGCACTTGCAGCCCACGGGATGCCACCTGCCCTCAGGGACGCCACCTGCCCTCGGTTCCCCAACCCCTCCCCCTGCCCCGCCGGGGCTAGCCAACTCCTCCTACACCACACCCAGTCATCACCAGGAACTGCCTGCCCAGGAAATCTCACAAAATTCCCCTTTGTCCTCAGGCTCTTCCACGGGCTCAGTCCTCAGAGCACACCCTCCCCTCCCCTGCACCTCCCCCTACCCTCACCTGCCCGGCCCACCTGCCCGCATTGCCACTCCACAGCTGCCCCCAGCTCTCTACAGCGTCTTACAGTCTTATGGGATCCTGTAAGGCAGGTCATTTGTATTCCAGTTTCCCAGGAGACAAACAGGTTAAGGAGCTCACCCCTAACCGCACAGCCAGTAGGCAGGGGATCTGGGCTAGAAGCCAGGTGTGCCTGGCAGCATCTCTCAGTCACATCCTACACAGTGAACCCCAGAGACTCCCTCTCGGCCTTACCTTCCCGCCCACACCCCCATTATCCCACTCCCCAGGCCTGCCCTGCCCTATGCCTAACCCGGGTCGACCCAACAGTGTGTTCCCCGCTCCTCTCCGCCCGCCCGAGGGGTCTCAGCAAATTACTCCTCCTCTCTGAATCTCAGTGACCTTGTCTGGACAATAGGGATGAGACTGGAAACTGCTCAGCTGGAAGATTCGATTCCTCGTCTCCAGCACACTGTCCCCCAGCAGCCCGGGGCCCCCTGGCCTGAACATCCTTCCCATTGCCTCCTAGTCTCCTCGGCTTCCCCCGAGGGGCCTTGCAACATGAGTACCTGACAACTCTGCTCCCTTCAATGCTCCACTGGGTTTAAAGGTTATTGCCCTCATGTGAAGGTCACGGAGGTCATTTCCTTCCCAAGAACAACCACAACTCCTTCCTTAGCTTGAAAGGAAGATGAGGCCCTGCCCAGTAGGAACCTGCTAGTGAATCCTCTGCCTAGCCTCCCTCCACTTCCCACCTCACACCCCCCCCCCACGCCTCCTACAGGCTCACTGCAGTTCTCTCTCCTCCTCCAGGAAGCCTTCCCTGACATGACCCAGCCTGAGTCCACTGTGCTTCCTGGACTCCCACAGCTCCCTGCACAGTCCTGTCTCCACCCCAGACCCTGAGAGCCCCCCCCAGTACGGGCGTTAGGCTGCCTGGTACAGCCCCTGGCGCCAAGGAGATCCCTGTCAACATGCGTGAGCCCATGAATGAAGGGGTTTCCAGGTCTCTCTCCTCCATCCCCCATCCCAGCCCCAGGCGGCCTCACCTGCCTCCTGATGGCCGCAGGCTCCCCTGCACACCAAGGGGACCCTCCTCAAACCCAGCCTCACACAGGTTTGCCCACACGCTTGGGTGGCTTTCCCTGCCTGGGGACGGAATACTGCCACCAGCAAGGCTGGCCCAGCACGTCTCTCCGGCCCTGTTCCTGCACCTGCCAGGTCCCTAAGCAGCGTTAATGCCTTCAGGTCTCTGCACATGCCGTTCCCTCTGAATGAAATGGCCTTCCCACCTAGTGGAATCTTGACTGCTCCTAGGAACCTTCTCCAAAGCCTCCTTGCCCCCACCCTGGCACTAGCTCCCTCCCCCATGGCTCCTGCACCCTTTACAGCACCTGAGTGGCTCAGCTAGTTGAGTGTCTGACTCTTGATTTCAGCCCAGGTGGTGATCTCGGGGTTCTGGGATCGAGCCCCACGTTGGTGGGGGAGGAAAAAATCCCTGCTCAGCGGGGAACCTACTTCTCTCCCTCTCCCTCTGCCCCTCCCCCTGCTCTCTCTTTCTCTCTAAAATAAATTTTAAAATAATAATAATAATCAACATGTCTGGGGGCACCTGGGTGGCTCAGTCAGTTAACCATCTGACTGTTGATTTCGGCTCAGGTCATGATCTCGGGGTCGTGAGATGGAGCCCCGTGTTGGGCTCCGCGCTGGGCTAGAGTCTGCTTGAGAGGCACTGTCTCCTTCTCCCCTACCCCTCTCCCCCTCTCTAAAAAATAAAAATAAACAAATAAATATTTTTTAAAAAATAATCAACATGTCTTGAGCCTTTGCCCAGCATAAACGAGGCTCATCACACGGTTATCTCCCTTGGTCTTCCAAAAGACCCACTGAGATGGCGATGAAGAGCACCCCCAGTTTAGGGAAGGAGGAATAGGGGGTTGGTGAGTCAGCTACCACAGTCAGAGATCCAGGATTGGCACCCAGGCAGTCTGGCTCCATAGCCATACTCTTATCCCCTCCTACAGCCCACCCCACCAGAGGTAGGGGACATCAGTCCTGTATCCCGGGCCAAGCACCTTTCGGAAGGCAGGGGTGGACTTCACCTTTCGCTCTCCAGCCCCAGCTAGGTGCCGAGCACTCCAGGGCCACAGATGGAATGAATAACCCAAACCCCAGCAACTGACCCAGAAACGCGCTTCCGATCCCAGGCTGTGAGCCCCAACATACCTCCTTGAGGGCCTGCCTCTCCCTCTCAGCCTCCTTCAGGTGCTGGTGGCCCTCGTTCTCCAGCACCTGCAGCCGCTCCTCAGCTGCCTCAGCCCGGGCCCTCAGTCTGGGCGCCTCACGCTCCCACTGCCTCCGCTCTCGGCCTGTGGCTGCCAGGGCCTCTGTCAGTGCCTCCCGTTCCCTCGACGCGGCCTCCAGCTCCCGGCCGGCTGCCTCCACGGCCTCCCGCAGCCGAGCCTGCTCCCGGGCCTGGGCCTCCACCTCCCCCTGGGCCTCGGTCTCTGCCTTCCGTGCCTGAGCCAGCTCCTCAGAGAGGCGGGCAGCCTCCGTGCCTCGGGCCTCCAGCCTCCGGGCCTGGGCCTCTAGCTCCGCTCGAAGGGCCTCAGCCTCTTTCCTGAGCTGCACCACCTCCTCCCTTAGGGCCTCCTGCTCTGGGACACCACCAGCCAGGATCTCCCCTGGGATCGGCCCTTCCCAGGTCTGGGCCTCTGGCACCCCTTCCAACTTCTGCTGTGGATTTTGCTGGCCTGGGTCCCCAGCCATCCCCTCCAGCTTCTGTTCATGCTCTCTGGCCTCTCTCTGCCCTTGGGGTAGGTCCAGCCCTTGGCCTGGGGTCTCCTGCTCCTCCAGCTGCCCACGGAGGCTGAGCTCTGAGGGTCCAGGCTTGCTTGCAGGGCCCTCTTGCCTCAGTACCTGGGCTTTGGGCCCTGGCTCTCCAGTCTCTCCTCCCAACAGCTCGGCCTGAATTTCCACCCCTGGAACTTGAGGCGAGACCACAGCGCTGGGGATCTGGAGAAGGGCTCCATGGCCAGCCTTCTCCAGGGACTCCTGTGTTGCTACCGCACGGCCTGATTCCTGGATGGTCAAGTCTGAGGTCTGGGGGGCCGCGGCAGCCACCTGGAGGGGTCTCTCTATCACCTGTGGGTCTGAGTCAGAAGCCTGGGGAGGCACAGCTACTCTCTCAAGGGCCGAGTCTGATACCGGGGGAGCCAGGTCCAAGGCCTGGGTGCCTTCATCCCCCACCTGGCCGGCCAAACCCTGGGGGCCCAGGTCTGAGGCCAGGCAAGTCTGGGGAGTCACATCCAGCTCTGGAACCAAGGAGTCCTCGCTCTGCTCCTCCAGCAGGGGGTGCTGAGGGTACATGAGAGGAAGGGTTAAGCCCCCAGGAGGAGGCAAGGAAGGACCCGCTAGGAAGGTTGGGGGAGGGGACTCACCTGGCCCCCAGGCTGCCCCTGGAGCACCTGCAGAAGGGCCCGAAGCTCCCGATTCTCCCTCTCCAGGGTCTGCAGCCGCCCGGCCTCTGCCTCTCTCACTTCATCATGAAGGGAGGGGGCTGCTCCTGGCACGGGTGCTGGGACATGTGAGATGAGGTTAGGACCCCTCCCTACACTTTGCCATGATCCCTGGTTCCTCCCACACACCCATAGACCCTCCCCCCGCCACAACACCTTGGGAAGAGAATGAAGTCAGAAGCCAGCCCACTAGAGTTGCAGGAAAAGAGGCAGCCAGCCCCACATCTGCAGCCCCTCTACCGGGGCCCTGCTCACCCTCCCCGGGAGAGCCCAGGGGCGGCTCCAGGCTCCGCTGAAGCTCCAGCTCCAGCTCCACATTCTCCTCTGCCAGGCGCTCCACCTGTTGCCGCAGAGTGTCCAGCTCCTGGGGGAAGGGCAGGGTCAGACAAGCCTTCCCCACCATGGCCAGGCCAATGTGTGGGCTAGATCACTAGGGGAAACAAGGAGTCAGGGGTCACAGGGCGCTCTAGAGAACTCTGAGGGACCACTGGGGCCACCAGGGGTCACAGATGACAGAGTGACTGGGGGTCACTCGGGCAATCTCACCGCATGGGCCTCGCCCAGACGGGTCCGCAGCAGCAGATTCTCACGCTGAGTCTCATGCAGCCTAGCACAGCGCTCTTGAGCAACCTCCAGCTGCTCCTCCAGTAGCGCCTTGGAGGCTTCCAGAGTCCCGGAGAGAACCCGTTCCTCCTGGTGGGGAGCAGAGACACCCGGGATGTGATGCTGCCCCCAAGCACTCCAGGGCCACAGACGCTGCCTTCCCTCCCTCATCTGACCCTGCACCCCTATGCTCTCCAGGCCCCGCCTCCCCCTCCCACCTGCCCCTCCCTCTCCAGGGTCTATCCAGGTACCACTTCCCCAGCACCTGGCCCCGCCCCCTCCTGTGTAGGCCCCGCCCCTTCTCTCCAAGAACAACCTCCCAAGGCGGCATCCCTCTAGGCTCCACCGCGAAGGGCTCTCTCCAGACAGTTCCTCCCCTGCACTCGGCCCCACCCTCCTCTCCAGGACCTACCCTTACCTACGGCCCCCACCTCTCCCCTCCATCCCCCCCATTCTCCAGAGGGCCTTTCCCCCAGACACCACCTCACCCATTTCTCCTGGTCGCGACTGTTCTATCCATTTGACGTCGCCCTCTCTTCTCCAGGCCCAAATTCGCCCCCCGTCCTGGCCCACCCCATCCCCGGCAGGCCCCGCCTCCCGGCCCCGCCCGCGCCCCGCCCTCTCCAGGCCCCGCCTCCCGTCTCACCTCCAGCTGGCTTTTGCAAGCCTCGGCCGCCTGTAGCCGCTCGCGACAGCGTCGCAGCTCCTCCTGCAGGCGGGGCAGGCGACCGGCCCGCTCCCGCAGCGCCTCTACCTCCTCGCGGTACAATTCGGCCCGCTTGGCCTGTCCCGACAGCGCCTGGGCCTGAGCCAGACGGTGCGGAGCTGGGGTCGGCCAGCCGCGGGCCAGAGGGATTAGGGAGGGGAAGGAGCCCGGGTGGCGGCAGGCGATGGGACAGAGGAGGCGTGGGGAGAGGGCTAGGGAATGCGGCAGCGGCGGGGAGCATCTGAGCGCACCTCCTGGCGGAGCCGTCGGATTTCGGCCTCCAAGCCCTGCACCTCCGCCTGGGAGTCTAGCAGCAGCTCGACCTTCTCCTCCCTGAAGAAAAGGGACGCTGGAGGGGTGTGGGGACCCAGAACCCCCAGGCCTGATCCCACCCGTTTCCATCCACGTCTAATCTGCCCCTCTCCCTCCAGGCCTACTTCCCAGACGGGGGTACTCACAGCTCCTGCCTCAGGCGCCGCAGCTGGGCCTTGGTGTTGGCCAGCTGCAGGGCCAGGTGGTGTGAGGGGCCCTCTGGGGGAGTCCTGGCAGGAGCCTCTGGCAACAAGGGGGCCGGCTGTCTCTCCAGCAGCAGTTCAGCCAGCCGCTGTGGGAAGTCGAGGGTCAGAAACCAGAAGTAACGCATCCCATGCGCCCCAGTCACCACAAGCCACGTCTGGCTCTTGAAGCTCTGCTGGTCCAAGACCCTCATCCCCAACCCCACATCTGGGCCCCAACCTCCATCCCCCCCCATATCTGGGTCCCTGCAGTCCTCCCATTCCTCCACCTGGGTCACAAAGCCCCCTACCTGGGCCCCCATATCACGCTCCCGTGCCAGCCTTAACAAAGTCCCCAGGAGGCTCCGGGACAGCATCTCCAGTTCCGGAGGCTCCAGCTCCCCAGGCTCGGGCCCAGCCAGTGCCAGCACCACACCGGCCCCAGGCTGCGTCACCTGGGCGGGTAGGGAGAGCAGTTCAGCGGAGGAAGGTGAGGGGCAGGGTGCCCCCAGCTGGCAGTGCCAGTCCCAGGCTATCGACCAGCCCAAGTACCTCCTGGATGGCAGCAGCCAGCTCACTCTGGACCTCAAGACTGAGGCCCTGGATGTGTCGGATGAAGAGTTCCCGGTGCTCACACTGCAGGGAGACCAGGTGGAAATGCCGGCACAGGAATCCCCCACGTCTTCGTCTTCCACAGAGGCTGAACCCTACCCTTCCCTCCCCTGCTCACCTGCACTGACGCCCCCAGCAAGAGCCGAAGGATGCCTTCCAACTCCTCCACCGCCTCCTCTGCAGAGCACAAGCCACAAAAAGTTACAGGCGGGGTGAGGGGATAGAAGCAGGAAGGGGTAGTAGGAGAGAGCACCTGAGAAGGGGTCAAACCCCAACGTCTGGAGGTCTGGGGGTGGCGACAGGATCAGCAGCTGCAGCTCCTCCTGGGGGCAGAGGAGACAGGACCTAAGAGAGGGGCCTTCCCACAGGGGCCTCCCAGGCTCAGCCTCCCCTTCCCAGCCCCTCACCTGGTAGAAGTCCCTCAGCCGGCCCCACAGGTGGTTCAGGTTCCGCACCCGCCAGGATGAAGGAGCATCACGGCCCGCGACCACCCGAGGTCCCCCTCGAGAACTAGGAGCTCTGTGGGCACAGGGAGCTAGGTGGGGGGCCCCATCAAGGCCCCACCTCCCCCAGTCAGGCTCCACCCGCCAGCCCTCAAGCTCCTCCCAGTAGCCTGTGGGGGTAGGGGCCACCTCAGACTCCTAGGCCGGCCTGGGGCTTCTTACATGATGCCCAGCACCCGGAGGAGCAGGGCCCCATCGCTGAGATGCAAGAACTTCTTCTCCGGGCAAAGGGGCCCCTCTCCTTCCTCCTCCTCTTCCCCCTCCGGCTCCTCCGCCTCTCCCACCAGGCCGGCCAGTCCCAGCGCCTGTGGGGAGCCGAGACAAGTCAGCCAGCCGGTTAAGAACTCCCCTCCCAGCAGAGTGACTTCCAGCCCCTCGGACCTGCCTCCTGAGCCCACGCAGCCTCCTCCTCACCTCTTCCCCAAATGCCCCTGCCCCCTGCCCCATGGCTCCCTCGACTTCTCCAGCCCCACATCTGTGCCCACCCCTGCCCTCAGCACCTCCCCGCCCCCCACGCTGCCGGACCCTCCTCCAAACCCAGCACCAGCCCCTCCCTGCTGCTCACTTCCCTTTCCCAGCCGCCTCCCACCTGCCCCCTCACCCAGGTGGCCAGGCTCCCACTCAGGAAGTCTTTGAGTCTGGGCCCCTTGCCCCCATCCATGACAGGGCCAGGGTGTTGGTCCGGCTGTGGCAGCTACACCTGCCCTGAGAGGAAGAGGAAGTTCCCCTGGTCGGGGATCCCGGGGCCCAGCCACAGACACCCTGTGCAGCTTCCTCCTTCCGGGAGCAGGCGGGCCTCTGCACCCCCAGAGTCCTGCCTCAGCCCCCACCTCGCCACCCCACATCCTCCCGGCATCTCCGCAGGGCCACAGGGTCGGCACGGAGGTTAGCTGGGGAAGGTGGGGTCAGGGCCATCCGGGAAGGTGGGGTCAGGGCCATCCGGGAGGGACGCCCGCAGCTCTCCTGGCGCAGGGGACCATGGCGGGGGAGTCCGCCACGCTTCTGGAAACTTGAAACTAGAGATGGGGACCTCGGCCTCGCATCTTCCAGGGCCTCTGCAAGGACTCTGGGCCTCGTGTGGTGAGTCTGGGCGTCCACACCTGCCTCCTCTGATTTGCCCAGCTTCGCTTTCCCCTCCATGTTTCTCAAACTCACCCAAGCTCCGCCCCCAAACTGGGAAGCCTGCGTCAGACGTCGCTGCCCCTGCAAATCTCCTCCGAACCCCAGCCAGGAGTGAGCCCCCGTCCTCTGCCCCACCCTCCCCCATCTCTCTGCACACCAGACTGAGACAGGAGGTCTGGGCCATGGACGTGTGACCTCACAGGCCTCAATTTCCCGTCCGTACAAGAAGAGGCTTGGTCTCCAGCCTCTGAGGGAAGCGCTGTAGTGCAAGGACCGGCAGCCTGTATCCTGCTCACCCCCGGCCCTGCAGTGCAGAGGCCTGCAGCATGTCTCGTAGACAGGCCAGGAGGACCTCCCAGGCCCCCACTGCGCACTATGGGGACTCCATTCACTCTTTCATCCACCAGCGCCTTGCCAGACACAGCTAGATACTGGGATGTGGTGAAAGTCACCTAGTCCCTGCACCCACAAGCCTCGGGAACCAGGGAGATGGCTGCCCCCCAAAATCACACACGCACTCAAAATGTAACATTGCAGCTATACTATGTGCATGAACAGTGAAGGGACTGACTCCTGGGGATGGTCAAGGAAGGCATCCTGGCGGGGGGGGGGGGGGGCGGCTACACGATGAAGCTGAGATGGGGAATGATTGGGTGAAGAAGGCAAAGAGGGGAGGAAGGAAGAGCGCAGGAACAGACCGTGCAAGGGCTCTGCGGTGCCTGGAAGCCCTGCCCAGTGCAAAGTTCAGAGATTATTCATGTGTTGTGGATTCCAAGACCCTTTCTTGCTCCCCCTTAAATCTCCTCACCGGCTTACATGGTAGAGTTGCTTTCTGGCTGGCTGCAGTCCTGACATAGTTGTCATTGCCTGCTCGTGCCCACACTTCAGAAGCAGCAAACCCTGCAGACAGAAAGGGCGTTAGCAGCTTGGAAGGAAGGCCCAGAGGCAAGAGCTGAGTGAGCACTCCCTTAACCCCAGGGACTTAAAGGGTGCGAGCCCCCAGAGAAGAGAACCAGACTTGTCAGTACACTCCCCAAGCAGAAATCTATTCCGAAGCTGGCTTGCAACAGCTCCTGCAGCTGTCGGTTTCAGGGTTGTCAAGGTTGTCTTTTTTTTTTTTTTTTAAGATTTTATTTATTTATTTATTTGACAGAGACACAGCGAGAGAGGAAACACAAGCAGGGGGAGCGGGAGAGGGAGAAGCAGGCTTCCCACCGAGCAGGGAGCCCGATGTGGGGCTCGATCCCAGGACCCTGAGATCATGACCTGAGCCGAAGGCAGACGCTTAACGACTGAGCCACCCAGGCGCCCCAGTTTCAGGGTTGTCTTATGAATAGTTGGGGGACCGGGGGGCTGTGCTCCAGCACTCACCATGACTCACTGGAGGAGGTGGTGGTGAAACCCAGACATCACGCCTCCGTCCCCATCGGACTCTAAATGGGAAGGAGTTTTCCGAACACCATAAAACAACTTATTTTGCTTCCAGTTTCCTTTTTGTGTGTTGCCTCCAAATTATATATGATGAGAATCTCCGTCTAAGTCAAAAAGAGCTCCTTCGGGAAGCATAAAGTAAAGGTCTAGTGATGAAAGAGACTTGGGACGTAGTCAACCGGCAGCATTCTTGTCTTCCCTGAGTGGCATCTTTTACAATGGATGACATCTTAGATTTGATGAAATATGGGGTAATACCAACCATGGCAGACAGGCTTACCAAGAGCCAGTCATGGTTACAAGAACTTCACGCTTGGGACGCCTGGGTGGCTCGGTCGGCTGAGCGTCAGACTCTTGGTTTCAGGTCATGATCTCGGGGTCATGAGATCGTGCCCCGCGTCAGGTTCCACGCTCAGCATGGAGTCAGCTTGAGATTCTCTCTCTCCCTCTCTCTCTCTCTCAAATAAATAAATAAAATCTTTAAAAAAAAAAAAAGGTAAGGGGCACCTGGGAGGCTCAGTTAAGCATCTGCTTCGACTCAGGTCATGATCCCAGAGTCCTGGGATCCAGCCCCACATTGGGCTCCCTGCTCCTCAGGGAGTCTGCTTCTCCCTCTGTCTGCCACTCCCCCTGCTTGTTCTCTCTCTCTCTGTTAAATGAATAAATAAAATCTTTTTTTAAAAAAGTACTTTAGGCTTATTGACTTATTTGTGTTGGACTAATAATACGTGACCTAAGGACTAAGGGTCTCTAATTCACAGAGGGGGAAACTGAGACTCAGAGAGGTTACTAACCTGCCCAAAGTCACACAGCTATTAAGTGGTAGAACCAACCAAAGGAAGGCAGTGGGGCCACTGTGTAAAGAGCAAGGAGCTCACGGCCATGGCGAGCCAGGTCTCACCAGGCAGTGGGAAGGCGTGCAGGGCAGCAGAGCACAGCCATTGTTCATCCCTGCTGAGATGCAGCTGGAAATGCAGATAATCCTCTCAGAGGGTTGTTATGAGGATTCCATGAGCTGGGGCCCAGCTGAAGCGTTCATTAAATGGTCCCCCCGGTGTGGTTGTTATCTTTAGTATTAATAATATCAAGGGTCCATCCAGATTTGACCCTCTGTGGCTCTTAACTTCTATTTGCACCCCCTGCCCCGAGGATTCCAGCCCAGGAAGTCCTCCCAGAGAGCCTGCTTGGGGTTAGCCAAGCGCGGTGACTAGGCCTCATCCCTTGGCTGCCAAGGGCCCCTGCCTTGCTCAACATCTCCCAGGCACACCCTTCTTCAAGCCTCGGAGGCAGGCGCTGGGTCAACGATGGCTTTCACATCCGTCCCTCCACACACGCCTGGCTGCCCCTCAACCCTCTTCTCTGACTCGCTCCAGCTGAGTCAGGCCCAGGGAGGCTTCGGGGAGAGGGGAAGGGAGGGACGGGCCTCTTTAAAAAATAAAAAAATAAAAATACATAAACCATGTCTTGTTGACAAATATTTTATTTTTTTTTATTTTTATTTTTTATGTTTTAAAGAGTTTATTTGACAGTGAGAGAGGGAACACAAGCAGGGGGAGTGGAAGAGGGAGAAGCAGGCCCTCCACTGAGCAAGGAGCCCGACGCGGGGCTCGATTCCAGGACCCTGGGACCATGACCTGAGCCGAAGGCAGACGCTTAATGACTGAGCCACCCAGGCGCCCCTGTTGACAAATATTTTAAATGTTTGCAGTGCTATGGTGTCTGCCCTTCTCAGATATCTTTGTCTGGCAGGTTGTTTGTTTGTTTTTTTAATTTTATCTATTTATCTATTTTGAGAGAGAGAAAGAGAGAGCTGACTCTGAGATCATGACCTGAGCCTAAATCAAGAGCCTGATGCTTCACCAACTGAGCCCCCCAGGCACCCCTCTGGCACTTTTTTTTTTTTTTAAGATTTTATTTATTTATTTGAGAGAGAAAATGAGAGACAGAGAGCGAAGAGGGCAGAGGGAGAAGCAGACCCCCTGCTGAGCAGGGAGCCCGATGCGGGACTTGATCCCGGGACTCCAGGATCATGACCTGAGCCAAAGGCAGTCGCTTAACCAACTGAGCCACCCAGGCGCCCCCTCTGGCACTTTTTAAGGGAGTTCATCTCCTACTACTGACAGCATGGGGATCCAGGAGGCAGGCAAGAAGCAGAGAAAGACAGACAGACAAATGGACAACTTAATCAACGGCAATCTCCTCCCTCGGGGCTCAGCTTCCCCATCTTCACAGGGTAGGAGTGGGAGGGATGCCATCTCCCAGTTCCCTTCTGGTTTTGAATTCTCTAGATAGCCCTGGTCCGACCCCAGAGGCCAGAGGCAGGAGGGTTTGAGGGAGCAGAGCCCAGGGCAGCCAGGACAAGTGGTGGTCAGGGCCAACCAGAGCCTGGGACCAACCAGGGCTGAGTCAGAGGGCCACTTTCGCCCCTTGCCTGCAGCAGGCCCAGAGCCCCACCGGGCACCCCTCTGGCCTGGCCAGGGCCCAGTCCCGTAACCAGAAAGTTCAGGGCCCCAAGCTCAAGAATTAAAAACAAAACAAAACAAAACAATCTCCAGGGCCTTCTGGGCACCTGGGCTTCTGGTGTTGGGTCTGAGGAACTCCCTCCTCCCCACCCAAGTGCTAAGAAGGGGTGGTTTTCCTACCCACCATTTGGGGGTGGAAATAATGGAGCCAGAGCGGGCCAGGAGCAGAAACGCCCAGTGGGGTGGCCTGAACCAGCTGCCCGATGGAAGGAGGCAGGGGGAAGCCAGAGTCAGGCCGGGCCAGGTCCCCAGGGACTCAGAGGGCCACCTGCAAGATGTGAGCCCCAGCAGCTGAAGAGAGCATGACACCGCACAGCCCCCACCACCTGACACTTGGCTTGCTCTCCCCAGTGCGTCCCCACACTCCTAGGGCGCATCCGCCCTGCCTCACCCTGAGACTCTTACCAAGGCGGACGTCAGCACCAGTCCTCCTCCGTGCGGCCTCCACCCAGAGCCCAAAGAGTCTTTTGGAAATACTGGCTCATGAACCTTTCCTGCTTAAAACCTTCCAGTGGCTTCTCCCTGTGCTTTGAATCAAGTTCTAACCTCTTACCATGACCTTCGAGACCCGAGGCTCTGCTGAGTGGGCCCAGCTGTCCACCCAAGCTCATCCCTGGCTCCTCCCCTCTCCTCTGCCGCCGGGCCCTCCCTGCTTCCTCAGTCTTCCACCCTGGACCCCTTGAAATTTGCTGTTCCTCCAAACTGAAACCACCCCCCACACACGCACCCTCCCTCTGCCCTCGGCTGGTTCCTTCTCACTCTGCTGCTCTCACTGGATGTCCTGTTTCTCGGAAAAGATTTTCCCTTCCTACAGCAGACCCCAGTCCTTTTCCCTCCTAGCCTTACTCCGCTCTGCTGTGCATCTTCCCACGTTCTCACGGTGCCGAGCCATGGAGACCACGACGATGAAGAAACTGACACACAGAGAGGTTAAGTCACTTGCTTAAGGCCACAGAGCCAGGAAGAGGGAGAGCCAAAATACAGAAGGCAGCCAAAGTCATGTTTTTTGAGCAAATGAATTCCTATGTCAGGGATAAGGAGAGTGAGGCTCAGAGGGGCGCAGGGGTCAGTAAAGTTAAGGGTAAACCCAAAAGCTGCATCACCTCCCTTGCTCCCTGCTGCCTT